CAAAACCAATGCTCTCCTACAAAATGGGACAACCACCTGGCACAGGCCCTGGTCCATGGTGAGTGTCACTGTCTCAGGCACTCACCAGGCAGCCCGGCCAGCTCAGAGTGGCCATGCTGTCTTCACTGACAGTCTAAGAGTCCCCAGGAGAATGGCTGTGAGCATCCTCCCTTCCTGCCCCTGGAGAGGGAGTGTGAAGCCCGTGAACTGGTCATCTACTCCCTGGAAGCGGCGGTGACTGTCACAGAGACAGACAGGTGGGTGGCCTTTGCACACAGGGGAGCCCCAGTTGGAGAGGCCATCAGCTGGTAGGGGCACCCTGGTAGAACCGCTCTCTTGCCCCAGTGGGATGAGGTGTGGCCAGGGCAAGGAGCCCAGCCCTGTGGGCCCTGCTGCAGCCTCAGTTTGTCTCCTTCCCAGGGGTGAGTGTTGGAGGAGGTAGGAGAGCTGAGGTGGGCAGGTGCCCAGGACTTCTGAGGGGGTGACAGTTGTGTGCCAACCAGCGGCGAGGTGGTGTGTCTCTTTGTATCCTATTCCACTGCAGCAAGCGCTGCGGGAAAGAGGCCGATGGGGAGCCTGCCGACCCACAAGATGACGCCTATCTCAGAATCTCCTCCATTGGCTCTAAGGGCCATAGCCCACCTGAGGGTGAGTGAGGGTGGGCAGGGGCCCTGTGGTCATCCAGCCAGGCCCCGACCTGAGCACTGGGGCAGCCTGGTGTCGCCAACAATCCCCTGGAGCTCAGGAAACATAGTCCCTACCACTACCTGCGGAAGCTGCCCGTTCTCCAGTGTGGTGCCTCCACCCTGCAAGTGGGGCTGCTGTTACCATCTCGGGACACCAAGTGGGGAAACCGAGAAGGAGCCAGCTACGGCCCGTGAGCGCCCCTGCTCTGCTCCTCCAGACTTGGGGGCATCCAGGACGGACATGGAGGGCAGCGGTGCCAACATCAACACCTCCCCTCCTCGGCCTGGCCCAGGCCCCCGCTGTGACGTGAGGCCGCCCCACACAGCAGGTGAGCAGGGCCCTACGCGCACG